AATATAATATATTATTTATAATATATATCTTATATTCATTTTATATTGTTTTATTTTTCTCTCATTTTTAAAAGCTCAAAGGTTTAATAGATCATAAAGATTCCTGTTATATTAGAGCATGTGGTTTTTTATACTTGAGATATGTTCATTCACCAGCTAATGTAAATATAAAAAAAAAAAAAAAAAAAAAAAAAAAAAAAAAAAAAAAAAAATAAAAAAAAAAAAAAATTTTTTTTTTTTTTTTTTTTTTTTTTTTTATATTTACATTAGCTGGTGAATGAACATATCTCAAGTATAAAAAACCACATGCTCTAATATAACAGGAATCTTTATGATCTATTAAACCTTTGAGCTTTTAAAAATGAGAGAAAAATAAAACAATATAAAATGAATATAAGATATATATTATAAATAATATATTATATTTTAAATTAAATATAACATATAATGAAAAAAAAAAAAAGGTATATGATAAAATAAATGAAGATAATGGTAATAAAAAAAAATGATAGATTAAAAAATTAAGAAAAGTAATATAAAATAGAAGCTTTTTCTTTAATAAAAATTATACCTGTTTTTCAGACAAATGCATTGTAAAAAGTTTATAAAGACAGCAAAAAAGAGTTGAAGGAGCTCTATTACTTCCTATACAATATGGTTCAACATGATCTGCATATGCATGAATTTCATCTACTACTTCTTTATACGTTTTAAGTATACTTAACGATTTAAAATACTCTGATGATAAAATATTATTTCTTAATAAAGTATTAACGTTATAAGTTGTTGTATTAGTCATTTCTAAACAATTTTTTTTTTCTTCATTATTATGATTTACTGATGATTGAAAGGAACTATTTGAAGTTATATTTCCACTTGCTTTATATTTATTACAAAGTTTACAATTGGGATCTGAATTATTAAAATGATACTTATGATTTTCTTCTGTTTTATTAGCATAATCATTTAATGAATTATTAATAGTAGTCATTCTATTATCAATAGGATTCATTGGGTTATTCATGGAATTCATTGCATTATTTATATGATAGTATGATGGATCAATATAATTATAATTCATTATATAATTTCCAGATGCATCATAAATAACATTATTTTTATTATTTATATGATAAGAACAATTATAATTATAATAGTCTTCATTATTTTTATAATCAATATTTTTTTCATTAGTTATATTATACATTCTTCTATTATTATTACCTTCTGGATTATTATAATAATAATAATCATACATCTGGTTATTTATATCATTTTGATCTACTTGATTTGTTTGTGTTAGATATAAAGGATATTCTATATTATTATAATTTCCATCCATTTTTTAACTGAAATAAAAAAAAAAAATGCACATTAAAAAAAAAAAAAAAAATTAACTTTATTTTCAAATATAAATATAAAATATATTTAATAAATATTATAACAATATTTATCAAATAACATTTTCCTAATTCATATAGATATATATAACTTATTTTTTTTTTTTTTTTTTCTCTCTCATTATTAAAAAAAAAATTACATAGTTGAATATTATAATGTTCCTATAAAAAAAAAAATAAATACATTTTAATTTACAAAATTTAAATGAAATTTTATCAGAAAAAAGAATTAAATATTGGTATAAAAAAAAAAAAAAAAAAAAAAAATTAAGCTTAGAATAATATAAAAATAAAATATATAATCCTATTATGTAATTTTTATATATTTAGAAAAATAATCTTATACACATTTTTCTTAAAGAAAAAATAACTACAATAAAATATGAAACATACTTATTGTAATAATCATTTTTAAGTTAATAATAAAAAAAAAAAAGCAAAAATATGAGATATTTTTTTTTTTATTGAAGTGAGAACATTCCATCATAAAGTTTTATTTTTAAGATTTCCAAACATAACTATAATGGAATATTTTGAAAAAATAAAAAAATTTGTTAATTTATCATTTTTTATAATATAACTAATTTGAATTTTAATAAAAACAAAAAGGATTCCTTATTTTTTTTAATCACATAAATATTGTTTCGACTTAGGTATTAAAACTTTTTTAATAAATTCTTATAAATTTATATATTAAATTTAAAGTAAATATCAAAACTTATAACTTCTTAAAATTTTACAAGAAAATATATGAAAAAAAAAAAAAAAAAAATGTTTTATTTATCCAATGAAGGTATAAAATTTTATATTTTTTTTAATTGAAATTTTTTTTTTTCATTTTGTACAGAGGATCTACATGTACATATTAAAATTTTTTTTTTTTTTTTTTTGAATTAGCTCTTTTTTTTAATTTATTTTTATTGTGCTTTTTTTTTTTTTTTTTTTTATTTTTTCGAACTTTATCTTATTTTTATTTATTGTAATTACTTTTTTTTCTTTAATTCTAATTTAAATTACTTTTTTTTTTTTTTTTTTAGTTACCTCTTTTTTTTTAATTTTTTCTATAATTTTATATAGTTTTTTTATCATTATGTTTTTATATAAACGGGGGGATTAATTTTTTCTTTTTTTTTTTTTTTTAACATGTATGTAACCTTATTTTTCAAAAATCATATATATGATAAATATGCTAAAATTTTTTTATTAGAAGAGATTTTACTTTTTTATAATAAAAAAACGTTGTATTGTTTAGGATAATGACTAAGAAAAAAAAAGATGACAATGAAAGTAATAAAACAGATTTAGAAGATATAAAGAAGAAATTAGAAGAATTAAAAAGTAAAACAGAGATTCCAGATGTAAAATTAGGGATTGTAGCTAAAAATGTAGATCCCTTTAATGATTTAAAGTTACATATTTTAAATATATTGGATGAAACGAGAAAATGTATAAGAGAAAAAGAAAATACTCAAAAATTTTACGGAAACAACATGGAAGTTATAAAGAGGGGAAATATAATTTATAATAATATGAAAAATGTAGACGTATATTTCACAAAATTAGAAGAAATTTTGAATAAACAGTTAAAGCAGAAACACCTTTTTAATCAAGAGGAATTATGTGATAAAAATGAAACTTTCGATTTACTAAAAAAACAAATTTATGAATGCAAAAAATTAAGTAATTATAATGAAATTAAATATGCAGCTCCAATGGATTTCAATGAATTTAAAAATAAACCAAACTTAGAAAGTAAATTAAAAATCTTTTTTTATATTCATTTTTATGTATAATTAATTTATTCATTTACTCATGTATGCATTAAGTTTTTATATATCTTTTTCTTCTAAGATAAATATATATATTTATATATATTTTTTATAGGAAAAGAAATGAGTGATATTACTCATGATGAAGATGATTTAATTATAATTAATAGATGGAAAGAGAGAGACAAACAATTTAATGAAGAGATTCTACAAATAGGTGAAGTAATTGATAAAATAGGTGATAATGCTGTTACTATTACTCAAAAGGCAGAACAACAAAATGAAATAATTTTAAATTTACAAGATCAGACAGATAAGGCACATGATAATGTTAAGGAAGCTAATATAGAAATTAAAAAAGTTATGATAAAACAAACACAAGCAACATGGTGCTGTAGAATTTCCCTAATTATTACTTTGCTTATATTAATAGTATTAACTTTATCTATAATATCAAATAAATTTATAAAAAATTTATAAAAATATATTTTACAAAATTATTTATAAAATTAAAACACCTTTAAAAACAAATATATATTGTATAAATTAAATTATAACTCTATGAAATGAAATAATAATAAATTCTTAGAATTTAAGTGATTGAAAGTTTTAGGTAGTTATATAATAAAATAATGTTAGATAAATAAATATATATTTCTACATTAATTAAAATTATCTTCAGTTTAATATGTAAAATAATATCTTATTAAGAAGAAACTTTTAAAAAAATTAATATAATATAATATAGATATATAAATACCTCTTAAATGTAAAATACATAAATTTTATATTTGTAATCTTTTTTTTTTGACACTTATTTTTTTATAAAAAAATTATTTGTTTGTTATTTTCTCATATTTTAATAAAAATATTTCTTTATATATATAACATTTCCAATCATATCGATATCGCCTTCATTTTTTTTTTTTAATAGTATATTTAATTATTATATATTGTCCCATTACCCCCTTTTTTTTTTGTGTATTTAAAATTTTTCGTTTTATAGCTTTTATAATATGTTGTTTATGTGTAAAATTATTCAGTTTTTAATCTAAAACTTGCTTATATATTAATATGTTATGGGATAAAAATTGTGTAAAGGTTTTTCCTTAGAAAATCTCTTATTGAATATTTAAAATTGAAATATATACAATAATATGATTATGTTTTTTAAAATATTATAATGATTAAATTGAAAATAAATGTTATTTTTAAATTTTAGTAAAAAAAAAAAAAAAAAAATGAATAACTAAAAATTATCCAGAAAAATAATATTTAAATATGATTTAACCATACATAAAAATAAAAAATTTACAATATTTTAAAAATTTTAATTTAAATATAATGCAATATCAAAAACAAAGAAAATTAAAAATAGAGAAGTATAAAAAAAAAAAAAAAAAAAAAATAATAATTAAAAGGGCATGTAATATATTTTATTCAATTATGTATTAACATTATAAAACAATTTGCATTATTACACATATCAAAAGTTTGAAAATATTTTTTATATATTCTTTTTTTTATTTTTAATTATATCTATATTGATTCCCATTTAAAATTCATTTAAAATATATAAAAAGCAAAACCATATAAATATGAAACACAAGATACTTTACAATAAAGTGTAGTTATTCACAATAATTACACTTTTTTCCTAATTATGTCTTAAAAAATGTTCTTTCTTTTTTGTTTTATCTATATACACCTAAAACAATAGCATGATTACGATGAAATGGTTCTAATGTTAATTTTTCCTTAGGTTTGCAGTTTTCTTTTTTTAGCTTTTCCATTTCAGATGCAAAAACAACTTCTGGTTTGGCAGTAGAATCTACGCAATTAGCTTTAATAGAAATAATAAACCATCCACCTGTTTTTAGAAACATATGAGCATTTAAAGCAACAATACGAGCCTGATCTGGTTGAGCAACATCAGCAAAAACAACATCAACCATATCAACTAGCATTCGATATTTAATTGGTTGTCTAGCATCTTCAACAATTGGAACAATGTTTGACCTTTTTTTTGACATATTTGTTAAGTCTCTACCTGATCTATGAGAAAATTCAACCGCATAAACGACACCTTCTTCTCCTATCATATCAGAGACATGAGAAACTGAAGTTCCATTGGCTGCACCTAAATATAAAACTTTACTTCCCGGTTTTATTGGCATATTACCAACACCACCCATTAAACATGCTCCTAGTTTGGAGCGAAAAGGATTCCATACCCGATATTCAACTTTATCATCTTCACTCATTACTTCATATCTTTTTTCTCCATATACACTTTCACCAGGAACTAAATTTTTGGTAACTAGTATATCCGATTTTCCTTTTAATAAATATACTCCTGGGAACCTATGCGGTACTACTATTACCTTACCTGATTTACCATCTTTTTTGAAATTCTTTTTATCTTTATTAAAACCTCTATTTCCTCCTCCACTTCTTCCTCCACCACCTCTTCCTCCACCGCCTCTTCCTCCACCACCTCTTCCTCCACCACCTCTTCCTCCACCGCCTCTTCCTCCACCGCCTCTTCCTCCTCCACCTCCTCTTCCTCCGTTTAATCCTTTCCATGAATCACCTTTACGTACCGAGTTATTATTTGCCCTTCTGAAATCATTTGATCCCTTTTTAAAATTACCTAAACCTCCTCTAAATGTGTCTAAAAAAAGAAACATATAAATGTTGATGTATAGATATTTATATAAACAATAATGTTAATTTACAATGAAAATATCAAAGTTTAATAAAGTTATATAATAATCGTATAAAAATTAGGGAACATAATAAAATGATAAATAATCAAAAAAATGGAAATATTACACAAAAAAAAAGTTATATAGATTATTATCAACAAAATAAACAAATAAGAAGAAGGAAAAAAAAAATAATAAAATGTACTTAATGAAAAAACTATGTAACAGTCAAATAATCAAAACTAAATAATTTAATCAAAAGAAGTTACAAAATTAATTTTCAAACAATTTTTTTTTTTTAATGTACCAGTCATTTTATTTTTATCTCAAATATGTATAAAGTAAATTTATATAGCAATTTACAACCTAAAATAAGCTATGTTTAATTCAATTTTTTATTTATTTAAAACTTTTGTGTAAAGAATAATTATATTAACATATATGTTATAATTATTCAAGGAAAAAAAAATTAAAAAATTCTGAAATAATTATATTTTAATTTTTACTTATTATAATTTATTCTGTTAATATTTTAATTTTTTTTATATTTTTCAAGCAAAAGATAAAATATACATATTTATATTTTCATTTATAACATCTTGCATTCATTTTTTTGTTTTTTATTTTATTTTTCTTTTTTTTGTCGGTATTTTTTTAAAATATAAATTTTTCTTATATTATTTATTTATTTTTTTTTTTTTTTTAAAATCTTATTCATTGCAGTTTTTTTTCTTTTATGACATATTTAAATGTATAGAAGTGAGCAAAAATATTTGCAACTTTTTTTTTTATAAAAAATATATTTTTTTTTTTTTACAAGCTAAAGCATTTCTTAACTTTTTATAAAATGCTTTAATTTTTTTTTTTTTTAGAGATGTATGTATTTATTTTTAATATGATGATTTTTAATTTTTTTAAAAACTTAATTTTATTTTTAATCACTTTTGAAAATGCTTATAGAAAATCCTATTAAAAGAAGAATATCGTTTGCACAAGAATGTAAAAAGTATTCATTTAATTTATGAGGGAAGAATGAAATAATTGTTACTAAAAAATATGTACAACACTTATAATAAACTATTGATTTTGTGATGAAATAAACATCTTTATGAAAAAATTCCTTAGGAATTTTATTAATTAAAAAAAAAAAGAAAAAAAAGAAGACATATATATATTAATAACCATATTATGTTAATAAAAAAAAGATAAGATTAATTATTTTCATGATATTCTTTTAGAAAAATTCCATTTTTTAATCACATTTAGTTTGATTTTTCTTCAATGAAATCTTATAATTTTTTTTCATTATATGTATTTTTTCTCTTAAAAATATATAATTTTTAGTGAAGAAAAAGTAAAAATAAATAATCTTTAATTGGAATTTTATATAAAATCTTAAAAATTATTATTTTAAATATTTTATCCTTTATATATATATACTTATATATAATTTAGGATTTATTTATAAAATAGGAAATTTTAAAATATATTATATATATTAAGTTATTTTTTCACCATACATAATAATATATCATATTCAAAGGAGAAAAAAATATCAGGACATAAGTTGAAATAAATATAAAATAAATATAAAATAAAAATATTATATCATTAATGAAAATGAATAAGTGAATAAATAAATTTGAATTAATTTCAAAGAAAAAATCCAAATTTGTAAATAAATAAATATGATCTATTATTCTAGTAACAAAATTTTAGTGGATGTAAAAATATTTATATGATGTAAAATTTTCTTATCCTGTATATCTCATAAATGTTAAAGAAAGATTCTGGCTTGTAGAGTCATATGATTCAATATTATTTTGTTTGGATCCTTTAAATTCTTCTTGTTTAGGTCCCACAATTATTTCTACCTGACCCCCTTGATTTGACAAGGCACCTGAATGTATAGCTGCTTTACAAACGGAAGATAAAGGACTATATATATTTGTTCCAAAGATCTTATTATTTACTTTATCGCAATTAGATGGACAAGAAATGATTATTTTTTCACCAACAGATAAATTTAATATAAATTGACCATTTGTAGAACATGTAAAAATATTATCTTCATTTTCCAAAAAAACAGAGAAAGATCTCAATTGAGATTGTTTTTCTGATTTACTAACTATTCCAAAATGCCCTCTAGATGATTTATATTCTAATAAACCTTCAACAATTCTAACAATAAAGCTACCTTTGTTAACATTATTTTTATTAGGTATATATATACCTGCATGTATAGCAGCTTTACATATTGATGAATCAGGAGTGTAGAAATTATTACTTCCTTTTACTAAAAATTTTGATTTAGTGCAGTCTTCTAAGCAATTTACTAAAAATTGAGACCCTATTTTTCCATTAAATTGTTCAGAAAGTAAATCATCCTCACATTTTAAATTAATTTTTTCTGCATTTACTTGTAAGTCTTTATTTATAATACTTCTGGATTTACAAGGGGTTATACATTCTCTACCATCTATAGTTTTTCTTGCTCCTTTTTTCTTTTTTTTTTTTATATTTTCTGTAGTACTTATGTTTACATAATCTAAGGATAAAACTGAATTTAGAGATTCTTTAATTTCTTCATCAGACAATACATACTTGTATACCTCTACTAAATGAATATTTCCTATAAAATAATCAGTTGTTGATTGATTTGATCTACCTATAATTAAATCCCCATTTAAGGTGAAATCATATTTTGCTTTTTCGAATATAGCTTTTTTTCCATTTATATATAAAGCAATTGTTTTGTTTGTTTTATTAAAAATAATAGCAATGTGATATGTTTCTCCAAATTTAGGTTTAAATCTACTTTTAATTATGTAAGGATTACAATTCTGCTCTATTATTAATTCATTTTCTTCATCAATTGAAATAGAAATTCCTTCACATAAACTGTGAGACAAAATAGTTCTCCATGTTCCTTCTCCTCCATTTAAAGTAAAATAAATAATAAATGAAAAATTATAAAGACCTTTAATATATTTTTCATTTGGTAAATTACTACAGTCTATAAAATCATTCTCTTTTCCATTAAAACCTAGAAATCCTGTTGGAGAAATCCATTGAAATGTAGGCTGGATAGAAGTAGACAAATGCTTTGTATTTTTATCAAATACATTTTGGTAAGAAAAATCATCTTCTTTTTTTAAGATTTCATCTTCTGCTTTTGGATTGCTTCTTCTTTCTTTATTCAAGAGAGAAGTAGTTGGTATACTAACACTATAACTTTTAGAGATACCACTAAATGTATGGGACTCTATATTATTTCTTCTTGTTCCTATAAAGTTTTTATGCTTATGTGCAATAATTACAACAATGTCTTCTGTAACATTATTAGTAAGTACCCCAGCGTGAATTGCTGCTTTACATATAGGAGAATCAAATGTATATAAAAATGTACCTTTTATTATTCCCATTTCCTCGTCACATTTTTCAGGGCAATTAACTATGAAAATATCCCCTACATTAGCACTACTTAGATCTGATTTTGAAACTATCTTATCAAAACAGGTTAGTTCAATTTTTGGATGAAAATTTTTTTTTTCTAAGTTCATTAAATTTTTTTTTCCCGATATTCCTAATCCTGACGCATCTCCTTCTCCACTGCAACCAATTACAATATCTTCATCATGAGAACAATATATATCTTCATGTGTTTCATGAGGACAATTTTTTAGATATTTTTCATTTCCTTTACATTTAATATTAACAGCATTTATTTTTTCTGTATCATGACCACATAAATTTTCTCCCGATATGTTGGCACATAAATGATGAGAAAAACCACTTCCTTTCAGTCCTGTATAACCAAGTTCTTGGCAAACAATTTTTTCTGATTCTTTTGCCCATCCCTCAGAACATACAGAGCCAAAAGTTCCATTGTAATAAATTTGTAATCTTCCTACTCCATTATTAGAAGGTGAACCATTTACATCAACAATTCTAATAGTTCCATCACTTACCAATTCATTACTTGAATAATGCAAACACTGAATAATAACATCATCATGATGATCTATACAATGAGAAGCATCGTCCCCATTGCAATTAACTAGGCTTTTTTCGTTTCCAGAGCACATTATTCCTGCACTACTAAATGGATAACCATAATCGGCACAATAATTTTGTCCGTTAACATTCCCGCAATTTTCTTTTATATAAATTCCATTAGGAAAACCTAAATCTTTACATGCTCTTTTAGCTGTATCATCATTGAATGTAAAATTTGGACCTTTTTTGCAGACACTTCCCCACATATTTTTTGTACGTATTTCTAATCTACCTAGAGAAGACAATTTTCCAAAGGAATTAACAATTCTAATATCACTTTTTATATCATCTATTGAATCTAAATGATAACTATAGAAAGAAAAATTTTTCTCATCTGCCTTGGTACTAAAATCCATAGCTTCTAATCCATTATATTTTTCATTAAGTGCATGATAATATTTCAATTCACTTCCAACAGTAACAATGAGTTCTCCCCCACTTGGACTTAGTGACCCATCATGAATAGCAGATGCGCAAATAGAACTTGAAGATGGATGGATTGAAGAGCCTTCAATAGATGCAAATTCTGCATTTTGACAATTTTGTGGACATCTAACTTTAAATATTTGCACTTTGTTTGCTAAATTTTTTGGTAAGTTATTAGTATTTATTAAATCATTAGCACGGATATGACAATCGATATCTTTTGCTGTTCCTTCTACATTATCATTTTTTATGTTAACTTTTACATTCTTATCATAAGGATGACCAATCCAATTTTTAACATTAAAAACATAAACTTTATTATCACTTTTTATTTTAACAAAATCACAATACCATGGATCATTTTTGGAATTGTTGCTCAAAATTATATCTTCTAAGGTTCCTACATCAGAAGCTTGAAATTTAATTTTCTTTAAACTCCCAGAATTAAATCCTTCATGCAATATTTTTGTATTGCTTCTTTTTTCATTACCTAATAAAATAATTTCTATAGTTCCTGTAGTTCCAGCTTCTATATCTTTACCCGTTTGAACATAAGCAGTGTACAACTTATTTCCAGATAAAAAGTAAGTTGCTTCTGGTTTTCTATCATCTAAATGATCAATGCAATCAAATATCCAATATTTGAAGTCTTTCCATATAGTGATTTTTTTACATTTCCACTTTTTATTTGGTGAATTCATTTTTATGTGTATATATTCAGGATTTCCTATATCTTTTCTAACAGAAAATATTTTATTTAATAATCCTTCATTTTCATTTCCTATAATTATTTCTTTTGTTTTTAAACCATATCCATTAGATAATACTATGGACACATTACTATATAAATTAACATCACTTGAAATTATTGGAACTGTTTCTATCATATATTTTGTAATATTATCTCCTTCATTTAAGCATTCTGCATAATCAGATTTTCCATATTCAAATTTTGCTTTACACCATTCTTTTCCATATATTTTTAGTAAGAAAAAAAGAAAATCTAAAAATACTATTATATATTTATAATTCACCATTATATATATACATATATATATATATATATATATATATATATATATATATATATATATATATATATATATATATATATATACTTAAATATTCATGTACAAACAAAAAAATAAAAATATAAAAATTTTAGACAAAAAAAAAAAAAAAATTATTTAAAGATATAATATAAAATGATAACCTAAAAAAAATAAATAATAATAAATAAATCTGGAAAATAATTAAAAATATTTTTATTTATTCATTTATTTTCCTATATTGCTATCAATTTATTGATTTTTTTTTTTTTTTTTTTTTTTTTTTTACATTTATTATACTATCTTTATTTAATCCCCTTTTTGAAAATAGTATCTATAATAAAATTATGGATATGATTTTATCATGTTTTTTTTAATAAATAAATTATTAGACATTATTTTAATTGCATCATGAACTGTTCTATTTTTAAAAATATACATAAATATTCATTCAACAAAATTATATACTATAAGTTTTCTTAGAATAACATTAATGAGTATAAATATACATATTTCCAATAATTTAGTTTATAAGTTCATATATATTTAATTTTAGAAATATATATTTAAAATAAGTATAACAAAAAGGAAAATATAAAAAAAAGTAATTGAATAATTATATAGAATGAAAAAAAATTAGTGTACATACATCTTAGCTTTTTATTTATTCCCTTTTATAAATTTTATGGTATGTAGCAATAAATGACAGCAAAAAAAAAAAAAAAAAAAAAAAAAAAAAAAAAAAAAAAAAAAAAAAAAA